CTTGGAAAAAGTTTCCCTTGGCCCCCTTCGGGAAAGGCCGTGGTACGCGGGGTGGTACAACGTTTGTTTATTGGCAATCCTCTCCAAGGCAGGGATCGGTAAGTGGTTTTCCTTTTCGTTTTAGTAATTTTAAATGTATATATCATACCTGTGTAATATGTGTGGAGTGTGTCGATAGGGGGCTAGATCCCAATTGCTTGGGGGTGGATTGGCAGGATTCGTGGCATTTGAGTTCTTTAAGTCTATGTTACAAGACGAGGGACGGCAAGATTTCTGGGCCGCGGACAGTAATCGCCGGGCTTGGTGCTGGCTTTACAGAGTCACTGTTGGCCGTTACGCCTTTTGAGAGTATCAAGACACAGTTGTACGCTCTTGCCCTGTCTATTCGCTCTTCTCTCCCACCTCCCGATATTAATTTACCTCAGTTTTGAGCTAACTGTCCCACACATAGGATCGATGACCGCAAATCCGCTAGCCCACGCATGCGCGGCTTTCTCCATGGCACCGGGGTAATATTCCGCGAGCTCGGGGTACGCGCATTCTTCCAGGGCTTTGTGCCAACGACGGCACGACAGGCTGCTAACTCTGCCACTCGTTTTGGCAGTTATACGACCATCCGGCAGTTTGTGCAGGGATATGTAGCGCCAGGGGAGAGGTTGGGCGCTGCGAGTACGTTCGCCATTGGAGGACTGGCAGGTCTGATCACAGTGTATGTTTCGTTTTCTCTTCCCCCTGTTGTGACTTGTGATGTGAAAATGGGTTTAGCTGGAGCGTTGACTCTTTGTCTGTTGGTGTAGATATGTGACCCAACCCCTGGATACGATTAAGACTCGGTTAGTTTACCTTTTAGCCCTTACCGGTGAGTAAAGAGAGAGAAGGGGACTGAGACTGACATGTATGTTCAGAATGCAATCCATCGAAGCTCGAAAGAACTATAAGAATAGTTTTGTTTGCGCGACTACCATTTTCAAAAACGAGGGCGTTCTCACATTCTGGTCAGGGGCTTTGCCGCGGTTGGCACGTCTGGTTATAAGCGGAGGTATTGTTTTCACGATGTAAGCATCTGTATCTAACCTACCCGTCCCAAAAGCTATCCTTTCACTTTTGTTGAACAGAGCAAATTGATACCCTTTGAGCCCAGAATCCATCACTAATAATATCCATTGAAACAGGTATGAGAAAACGATGGAGGGACTGGACGTGTTGGATCCAGAGAGGAAATACATCTAAATTTTTCCCACCTTATTTATTGTATAACCTTTCTGGTTGATATGGGTTTAAAACCCTGCATGAAATAGACACTAGAGTCTTTCATATTGCAATTGAAACAAAAAGTAATATTCAAAAAACCTCCGGGAGTGTGTAGGACAATTGTGATTATTTCCTGAAGGATTGAATCAAGCATATATGTCCAAATTTATATACTGTATATGGGGTAATAATCACAAAATCCTCTCAAGACCTCGCCCGCTTTTTCGCCGCCTCCTGTGCCATTTTCATTTGCTCCTCCGCAAACACATCATCGACCTCCCGATCAACAAGCCATCCCCTCACACTATCCATAATCTTCTCAAGGCCATCACCACCCTCCATGATACTTCCAAGGTTATGCAATGTCAGCCCACTGCGATGATCTGTGCATCGGTTCTGTCCAAAATTGTACGTGCGGATTTTATCCCCTCTCCCCATCTTTGCCACACCACCCATAACTCCCCGCCGCAATTTCACCATCTCCTCCTCTCTCGCCTCACGTCGTTGCTGCGCAATCCTAGCCCTAAGGAGATGCCACGCCTTGCGCCGATTCTCGTGCTGTGACCGTGAATCCTGCATGCCTACCACAATTCCTGTGGGGATATGCGTCAGTCGGATTGCGGATTCGGTTTTATTGACGTGCTGCCCACCAGCCCCGCCTGCCCGCATTTTCTCCACATTCACTTCCTGTGGATCTATGTAGTAGTCGGAATTGGGGTCGTCGAAATTCAGCTCACTGTCTCCTTCCCCAATGATGGACGGATAGGAAGGCAGAATCACCACGCTGACAGCACTGGTGTGCGTCCTGCCTTTGTTTTCAGTTGTCGGTACTCTCTGCACGCGATGCACACCCGCCTCTGTCTCGAAGCGTCTCATAGCTACCCGGTGTCTCGATTTTCCATCACTGTCTCGATTAATCCGATCCTTCGGAACCCGCCGTTCGCACCGGCTATTTTCCGCATTCCTTTTTTTAATAGAGTGGGCGGCGCAAGG